CAGTAAGTTACTATTCACATATGGCCCATTTTAGTCATTATATTTGCTTTATGTGAAAAGTTGTGTTCCAGTCCAGATTGAAATAGCTTTATCTAAAATTGGCTACATTAAGAATTTCTACCAACTTTTGCCTGCCTGATTCCTGCTTGCTTGATTTTTATCCAGTAGTAATGGTCTTGCCCTCATAAACAAAGCCCTAGAAATAAAGTTGAGTTACAATCACACTGTAAAATCTTTACTGATAAGTATTTTAAGGTCACAACCCAATAAAAGATTGTGCTACCTCTGGGTGAGTGAGAGGCCAAGAAAGCTGGCTCTTTCCCAACAAATTTAGCAAGATGTCAAATCCTTGAGAGGTCTCCAGCACTGCAATTGCACATGTTTCAGAATGAGTTTGATTGACTTATATCTTTACCATCTCTGTTGTGATACAATGCCAAGTGCTGAAGAATCAGAATAACCACCATATGTAGAATTTAAAAAACCGGATGGATATTATCTGTTACACGCCAATAGTTTACGTGCACATATACTGTTTCAAATATAATTGATGAAGTTGTTCTGCATAGAAGTAGTAAATCCTAGTATACATGCAACACTTTAAGAACTATTAAACCTTATAAAATCTCTGAAAATGGATAACTGTTACCCACATTTAAGAAGGGAGGAAACTAAGAGGGAAAAAAAGGTTATGCCATAAAGAGAATCAGATCCATAGCTGAGATTAGCTATCAGGACTCGTGTATCCAAGCCTGCTGCTCAGACCACTGGATGTACACTCATTACTCGACAAAAACAAGATTTGCTGTTTTGCTGCATTAAAAGTATTTCCCCTTTAAATAAAGAGAATTTAGTGTGCATTAAACAGAGGGACTAAGAACAAGCTACAGATGATGGGCACAGGATTGCCCTTGCAACTATTATCCCAATGTACCACCATTCTGAGCTGCTATCTTGTGCAGGGCCTCATGCAGAAAGTTACGTACCAACTGTATTAAATAATGCCTCACAAATGAGCCCTGGTTTTAAATTTCTATTTGCGACAGGAACCAAGATTCTGAGATTAGGTCACCAGAAGCAAAAGGCACATTTGCTCAACCATCCACCCTCTCTCAAACCCTGCCTAGAACTGTCCTGTTCAGTAACATCCAGGAGCGCCGCCAGCTTTTCTGCCGCCCCAGGCGGCGGAAGGTCCCGCCCCGAAATGCCGCCCCCCTTGCAGAGGTGGCGGAAGGTCCCGCCACATACCACTGCGGTCGCCGCCCCCCAAATTGTAGCGCCCTAGGCGACCGCCTAGGTCACCTAATGGGTTGCGCCGGCCCTGGTAACATCTCCTAGTCACAAATCATTACCATATTGTTTGTTACTTGCCACTAAACAATTGTGAATGCAGCTCCTTTATTTGTTGAACTTTCACTGTACTTCTCTAGGACTGTATGCATAGTGCATGACGAACTAAATGTGTCTTAGATTTTTACAGAGCAGTTAAACTCAACAGCATGGTAGACAGCAAGTAGCCAAGACTTGGCAAGTAGCCCCAAAATATAGCCAACAACGAAAAAGCAAATAAGGAGTTCTTTTACAGAATCTGCAACAATGAGGAACTCCCATTAATACAGGGACAAGCTTCACAGGGTTCTAAATAAATTGGGTTTGGTTTACTTTCCGCTGTCAGCACTTGCACAGTAGATAAGCCTTGCTCTCGTGAAGGTTGGCAGCATATCGGCAACACTCTCAAAATGTTCCTGAGCTATTTCTCAGATACACTGGGCACAAACCAGATCTCTCTCGACATTCGGCAAACATGTAATTCTTCCTTTCACTCCTCATTATTTCTTGGTTACTGTACGGAAAATAAAATCCCTTCCTTTTGTCTCTATTCCCTTAATCTGGCCTGCTGCTTCATTTCATCCGGCCCTCAGCAAGTCTCAGCGCCGCAGGCCGGAAGCTCCGAGCCTGCCCCCCCGTGGGGCTGGAGCCGCGAGCCAGAGCTGTCGGCTCTGTGCAGCTCCCAGCATGTCCCCTAGGAGCATGGGTGATCAGGGAAGCTCCGCGTGTTGCCCCCACCCCCAGCGCCAGCTCCGCAGCTCCCATTGGCCGGGAACTGCAGCCAATGGGAACTGCGGGAGCGGCACCGTGCAGAGCCCCCTGCCCCCTCCGCATAGGGGCCGGACATGGTGGCCACTTCTGGGAGCAGTACGGAGCCCTGGCAGGCAGGGAACCTGCATCTAGCCCCGCTGTGTCACTGACCGAGAGCTGACCGAGGTTAAGGGCTGCCTGGCCAGACCCCACACCCCGAACCCCCTGCCCCAGGTCAGAATCCCCTCTCGCACCCAAACTCTCTCCCGGAGCCCGCATCCCAAACCTCCCGCACCCCAACCCCCTGCCCCAGCCCTCAGCCCACTCACGCACTCCAAATCCTTTGGCCCCAGCCCGGAGCCCCTTCCTGCACCCCAAACCCTTCACCCCCAGCTCCACACCAGAGCCCGCACCCCCAGCCGGAGCCCTCACCTCCTCCCACACCACAGCCCTGAGCCCCCTCCCATACCCTGAACCCATCATTTCTAGCCCCACCCCAGAGTTTAGGGGAAGCCCTGAGCCTCACCCCCCGCAGGGCTGTGTGTGACCTGTGACTGATTTTTTCTGTTGGTCAGTGGCCCCTGATAGAAAAAAGGTTCCTTGTCCCTGCATTAACCCCTTAGTGCTGCCAGAGTACAGGTGTCCTTTAGCAGCAGTTCTACTTAAAGAACAAAATGTCAGTATGAACCTCTGCATACAAGGTGAAAAAAGCCCAAACTCTGAAGGTTAAAGTTTGACAAGCTTGTCTGCCAAGTCTGAACAGGGAATAGTATGCCTGTTCTCACCATGCCCCTACCTAGCAAGCATCACCTGCTTTTGGGGTTGCACTGGACATTGGTACATGGATTGGATCCCAGAAGTAACTATGCATAACTGCATGGAAGTCCTTTTCCAGGCCTCTCCTGCTCTTAGACAGCCTGCAAAGGTGACTATTCTCCACCTGCTGCTGGAGACTACTGAAGTCTGAGCAGCTGTTAGACCCTTACCACATAGGGGTGAAACTGGAAGACTGCATAATCTTTCTCCATTATATGACAAAGCGACTATAACCCATGCACCTGACCGGGTATAGAAGTTCGAAGAGAACAAAGATACTTCCAAGTTGTCAAGCACTACTTACCATCCTCTAAACCAAGTTGAGTATGGAAATTAAACATAACATGGTCAAAATTTTCAAGAGGGATTTTGGGTGCCCAAACTGAGACATGAAATTGGCCTGGTTTTCATAGGCCCAGCACTTTCTGAAGCTGACTCCCCCTCACCTTCTTTAAGAGGTCTTAAGTTGGACACTCAAAATCACTTTTAAATGTATGTGGGTTAAAATTTTCAAAAGTTCACTTCATGAATTATGAGAGAAGAAAAGACTCAATGGATTAAGAAATTTGTGAACAAAATGATATCTTATTCTGTCTCCTGGACATTTACCGAGGCAAAGTGGAGACCTTTCAACCTTCCCCCATTCTGTCAAGAAGGCGATATCTGTCTCCATGAATGTTCTACCTCATTTGACTGCAGTCCTAACACACTGAACCATTACAACTAAAACAGGAAAACTGGACACTTCTTTCTAGCAATCATTGTTGAAGTAGAGCAATATTAGCGCACACCTTGCCATTACTGAAAAGATGCATTGTGGTTGTCCAAAGGAAAAAAATCAAATATGTACTGTGTTTCAGCCAATAATGAATCTGTATATTCACAATAAATGCAGATGAGCTGTATGTGTATGAAACGAGTATAATGAAACGAGGTATCTTGATTGACCTCTGTAGGTTATTACAGTTTGGTTACCCAACATGATTAATGTTTGGGATTTATCAGGGTGTTTTTGACAACATTGGGTGGGATTCATTAATTTGTTATGTCCAAAGGGAATAATATAGGATAGGCATATATCTGGTGTCTTTTCAAGGAAAAAACCTGACTGTCCCCCAATAAACATGCTTGCCTTGTTTTTGCTGATGCCTGTTGAAATGGCATAGGAGGTGTTAGTTAGCTTGCCTAAAATCACATAAGTGAGTCACAGCTGCAGAGATAGGAATACAACCTAAAAGTTCTGGCTCCCAATTTCTTGATCTAAACACACTACACTCCCTACAACAATTTGATTAGCTGACACTGATTTTTCAGGCACACATATCAGGCATTGCATAAGCTGTCTAAATATTTCAGAGCCACTGAAAAGCTTTACTTTTTTTTTTAATAATAGTCAATAAGTGCAACTTTCAGCTACATTGTTCTCAAGTACATGTTTTAATTTTCAACAGAATTGCAGGTTGTTGGGTTCAAATAATTTGAATCAGTCCACCTCAATTTAAATGCTCATAACAGAAAAACAAACTGGGTACAAGCAAATCTTGAAACTATCTGCAAGGAAAACTACAGATGCAAAAATTATGTTGAATGATGGAGATTGTGAGTTTATGATATCTGAACAAAAAGCAATGGGGAAAGCATTGTGCTCTGTTCAGTTAAAGACAAAACTTATGAAAAAAGGTATAAATACAACATCACAGCCTGAAGAACTCTGACTTAAAATGATCATATACAACAGTAATTTAGTCTACCAAATGGAATCACTCTGCAGATATGTCAAAAAACAACCACCAATCACTCTGCAGAAGCGTTTGAGAAACTGAAGCTAACAAAAGTGAACACAAGACATCAGTGTGTGTTGGAAAACTAATTTTAGAATAAACCTCCTTACCAAAATTTATATCCAGTTAATACTGTTCTTTTGTGCATTTGTGCTGAGTGTACTGCAGCTTTGCATATTCAAAAACAGAATTACAAGCCCCCTGTCCTCTGCGTTTTGCTAGATTATGACCCAGCTTTTGAAACTGCAAAGATCTCCCTAATGGGAACATTCACTTTTAATTCTAGCTCTAGAAGCAATTATATATGAAAACAAGGATACTTACGGAACATTGTATAAAACTGCTGTGGATTAAGGTTCCATTTCCCCCATGGCGTCTTGTGGCCTTTAGACTGGGCATAATGAGCATGATTAAACTCAGGTTCAGTCCCGAACGAATCCAGTACTCGTAACATACACCTGAATGAAAAACAAGCAATTAAAATCGTTCATGTTCTTCTTTGACTACGCTTTTCTTTTAAATTTAAGAACTTCCTTTACCCAGAACAAACCTTAATCATTTCTAAATTGTGCAATCACAAAAATGTTTTTTACTGTTTATTTTCATTGAAATAATAAATGTCACCAAGCATAGATGCAACCAAACAGGCTTTGAGAAGAACAAATGTGGAGAAGTGGATAAGGAAAAGTTATTTAATTATTCCTATAATACAAGAACTAGGGGTCACCAAATGAAATTAATAGGCAGCAGGTTTAAAACAAATAGAAGAAAGTTCTTCTTCACGCAGCGCACAGTCAACTTGTGGAACTCCTTACCTGAGGGGGTTGTGAAGGCTAGGACTATAACAGCGTTTAAGAGAACTGGATAAATTCATGGTGGTTAAGTCCTTTAATGGCTACTAGCCAGGATGGGTAAGGAATGGTGTCCCTAACCTCTGTTTGTCAGAGGGTGGAGATGGATGGCAGGAGAGAGAACACTTGATCATTGCCTGTTAGGTTCACTCCCTGTGGGGCACCTGGCATTGGCCACTGTCAGTAGACAGGATACTGGGCTAGATGGACCTTTGGTCTGACCCGGTACGGCCGTTCTTATGTTCTGTTCAAATGTAGATTTCAAAAGTCACTAACAACTGTGCATTCAAATAAATGCACATGTCTGGTATTTGGTTTTGTTGGATACACTTTATTAACTTAGCATATTCATCTGGGACTAGCTGCTTAAAGGCACAGTGTAAAGAATCAAAGAAAAAGGTTTTAAATTCCTCTCTGTCCCTAATTTATAGCAAAAACTAGAAAAGATTTAAAAGTATAATTTACCTCTCTCTTTGAATCCTTCCACTGGCTCTCCCTTCTCTATCACATCAAACATAAGCTGTTTGTCTTTACTTTCCAGGCCCATCATGGCCTATCCTCACTGTAGCTGGCATCTCTCATTCACTACTGAAATGCTGACTCCTGCTAAGGATTGGCCCATGATGCCAACCTCCACTTGTTAACTTTTCAGACAAGCACCTTTGTGCTTTCTCCCATACTGCTCCCTCACAGTTGGAAGGAGATCTCCTTAATCATATGCAAAGCTACTTCATTATCTCCCTTCAAATCACTCTTTAAAACTCTTTTTTTTTTTTACCTACATTTTTTTTTTGATGCCTACAACTTGACAGCAGTTAGGCCACTAGTTTGTTGAGACCACTGTCAGTCATGCCGACCAATGTTGTCTGTTTCCTTGCACTCCCATCTGTCTGTATCGAGCTGTTGTTTCTTGTCTTATGTACAGACTGAAAGCTCTGGGGGGCAGGGACTATCTTTGTGTTCTATGTACAGCTCCTAGCACTACAGGGTCCTGGTCCATGACTAGGGCCCCTAGGTTAATGTAATTCAGATAGAAAATAATGACTGCTGACTCTTCTAAATGGACACTGATTCTAATTTTGGTGTCTCCTAATCTTTTTAAAGGGCTGAGAATGGTCTCCCTCCAACAACCCAAGCGACACATATGGTTTGAAAGGGAGCAGAACTGCTCCCCTTCCCCCCAAAAAGAGCAAAATATGGGTTGTAGCAGATAAGCGGCAGGGAGCTTGTAAAAGTGGGGTCTACACCAAAGTGCGCTATAGAGTATAGCTCTGCAGGGTTTGATCTATGTCACTGCACATTGAGGGCGAAGGCATGACCAACTGATCTACAGCTACATGGATCCACTTTCCATCCCCCACTGGTGAGGGTCCTGCAGCTGCATGAGTTACTAAGGGGAACAGATTGCAATAGCTATGTAATAGCCAATGACTTGGTGAGCACCTGCTCTCCCTTTTGAGAAGTGATCTACCCTCCCAGCCCCCATACACTACCTTATTCATAAGCTCATTTCCTCAGAAAGGAAGAAAGAACTTAGCCCTAAAAATACATATGTACAGTCATCTGTAGTCATTTGTTTCACACATTTCTTTTACAATTTCTCCTCCAGCCCCCAATGTCTAAATGAAAATTCATAAAGCAATGGCAAATTGTAGCTTTAATATGAAATGTTACCTTCATATTTGAGAGCACAGGACAGAATAATTTACACGTTTTATCCCTATAGGGATCTTTCAAGCAAAATGAATAGAAAAATACAACATACTGTGAATTGCAAAACAACAAAGCTGACAGTTCAGTTTCTGTAGTAGTTATTCAGTGTTTTATGTCAACTGTTTTCATTGAGAACGTTTTACAACAGTGGCAATTATCTCTGCATCACAGAGAACACTCCAGCAGGACAAAAACAGACTCTGCAGCAGTAAATCGGAGAGTAAGAACAGCATTCTTGTTTCTTGGGTAGTCTCAATCCAGCATTCCTAATAAATGCACACTTTGGTCAGATGTGTGGCTTGAGAGACTTCTAGGAATCTGAAGAATTGAGACCTCATTGGGGCCTGTTGAATCATCTACATGAGGAGCACAAATGCTTCAGGTATATTTAATGCTACATGTACAGGCTGATTTAAACAGCTGGATCTGTAATTGGAAAGGATCCAATATAGAGAAAACAAAGGTCTCTGAAGCAGCAGGATGACAGAGATACAGAAGTGATGGAAGGTGCAGCTGAAAGCAAGCTAATCAAGGAGGGAAGTAAATGAAGGGTGTGTTTATTCAAAAATGGCATGTGGGAATGGAGAAATGAATAAGGAAAGGGAAGGTCAGTTAAGAAAGGTCTGGAAAGGCAAACCTGAGCCATAAGACACAGCAGGGTGTGTGTCATGACACATGAAGACAGTTAGAGTGCCTTCAAACTGCTGTAAGGCTGACAAGGGTATGCAGTGGCATGCTTGGTTGAGTCTTAATGGATTTTATTTAAAATGAGACATTTATGTTGAACAGCAGTACTCTAAGTGTTACAAAAATAATTATGTACCACGAATTCTTGGATATATTTGCTGGTTTTAAACCATCTCCACAGAACACACTGTAGCAGAAAGTATTAAATGAAGTCTGAAGTGTCCTATGCTTCCGATAGCTTGGGAGTGAGGGAAGATCTTACTGAAAACTGTGCTCAGACACCACATTATTACATTAGTACTTAATCGTTTAAATATATCAAGTTTTTCAGAAGCACCTTTATGACAAGCTGGGACTGTTCTTACTGTGGTCTTTGAATGCTGACAGGGGAGTGTGGCTAGGATAGTCTGCACTGGGGGATTGGGAGACTGACTGACGAATACCTGAGCATGTAACATGAGAACCCAGGAAGGGGTTAAAGGCCAGGTGACACCTTTGCCCGGGAAACTGAACAAAGGCTGTGGGAGGGGTCACTGAAGGGAGTGTTTCAGGAGCTGGCTGGTGATATGGCTGGGAGGCAGACGGGGCTCTGACCTCCCAAGGGGGCTGGGGTGCCCGGGGACCCCAAGATGGACCTAACTGAGGGGGATCCTGTTGTCTGTGCCTGCAAGACCTGTCTTGGACTGTGTTCCTGTTGTCTAAATAAACCTTCTGCTTTACTGGCTGGCCGAGAGTCATGGTGAATCGCAGGAAGCCAGGGGTGCAGGGCCCTGAGTCCCCCACACTCCGCAACAACCTTTCAAGAGACTCTTACCTACAGTGAGGTCACTATAAATCTGCCTAATGTATTTAAAGTAAGAAAAAAATAAAATCAAACAACTGAAATATCCACATTATTTAGTATATTTTCTATAAAAACTTAAGAGTGAGCAATAAACCTCTAGGTCTATGAAAGGAAGATAGGATGGAGAACGGGGACTGGTATTTTTTTTTTTTTTTTTTTTAAAGTAACAACCTCCCCCTGATTTCCCTATAGTTTGGGTTTTAACATTGTTAAAGTTACAGTAGCTGATGCTTATTGTTGTTTTTCCTTGCCTGTACTAATAGTTTACAATCATTCAACAATGCTTCGGTAACACCATTCCTGACACCTACTGTCAGCAATGGGTGGCTTTTCCAGTGTAGGCCACAGAATCTTTCTAGCTAGTTAGGACCTGCATTTCTAATGTAAAAATTTAAGCAGACTTCCTTTCAGGGCTTCTTTATACAGAATACCAACAGATTAGGCCTGAATAAGCACTGGGAGTGTTTGGGTCATTATAAAATCTAAACTTACTTTCCCCAATACTAATTTCTCCCTACTGTTACTCACACCTTGTTGTCAACAGTCTGTAATGGGCCACTCTCTTACCATTTCAAAAGTTATTTTTCCTCCCTTGGTATCCTGCTGTTAATTGATTTATCTCATTAGCCTGAACTCACACTTGGTAAAGCAATCCCCATCCTTACATGTATTTATACCTGCTCCTGTATTTTTCACTTCATGCATCCGATGAAGTGGTTCTAGCCCATGAAAGCTTATGTCCAAATAAATTGGTTAGTCTCTAATGTGCCAAAAGGACTCCTCGTTTTTATTTATACAGAATGTTGCTCATTTTGAATAGCAGTTGTGTTATACATCAAAGCCAAATCAGTTTCGGTACATTCGTGATACTGGCAGCACCAATGATACTGGACATACAGCATGTGTTACCTGATGTCATCACTGGTGCTACAAGCAAGAGAAATGAACAAAAACAGGATTTGGTTCGTTCAGAATTTCAGAACTCCCAGCAGCAAGAGTTGCTGCTTTTGGAGCTGCTAACTCTAGTCACCTAATTTGAAATCATCAATAACTTCCTTTGAGCTAAAGTTCTCTTACAAAACAGCAGTGAATATTGAAATGAACAAACAGCAAGTTCGAATTTAATTCACATTCAAGCCTGTTCTGTACAAGCAGACTAAACTGGTCAGCATACGGACATCTGCTGAGAGAATTTAACTGACATAAAACTAAGGAATGCGAGCACAGAAACACTCTTAGCTTCGCTGTAGAACAAAAAAAGGGCTCATACTGTAGTTATAACAAGAACTGTACAGCTATTAAATATTAATAAATAAAGACAGCAATTAGTAAAGAAGCAATGATAAGGTAGCAGTTCTATATG